TATATATGTATGTGTGTATATATATGTATATATGTATGTGTGTATATGTATATGTGTGTGTATATATGTGTGTGTATTTGTGTATATATATGTGTATATATGTGTATATATATGTGTATATATGTGTATAAATATGTGTATATGTGTGTATATGTATATATATATGTGTATATGTGTGTATATGTATATATATGTATGTATGTATATGTATATATATATATATATGTGTATATATATGTGTATATAGATATATGTGTGTGTATGTATATATATATGTGTGTATGTATATATGTGTATATATGTGTGTATATATATATATATATATATATATATATATATATATATATATATATATGTCTATATATGTGTGTATATATGTATATGTATATGTGTATGTTCCTGGATAGAGAGGAACGATGGTTTGAGAGAGGAGTAAAGGAGTCCATCTTTGTGAAAATAAATCGTCCATCATTAAACAGGGGTGGAGCCTCCAGGTTCAACTGTCCCCCTCTTACAATGCTGTGATTGCTAGTATCACTCAGCCTTCTGTGAACAGTAAACAGCCATCAGGTGCTAATGATCCATTGTTAGGCTGATGGTCCTTCTTGATCATGTGAGCAGCTGGTTTTGGTTGTCAGCAGCAAAACTGTTTGATCCACTCTGAGAAGGTGCTATTTAAGAGACTGAGATGAATACAGCACCTCAGACTGAGGAAGTCTCTTGGATGAGAGACGAAACGTTTCTATATTTTTTTGCTTTGTTTTGTTTTTTGTTTTTTTGAATGTCCAGAGGACCAGATTGAACTTTTTTGGATTTTTCTACCTGGATTATTGAGCATGCATCAGGATACTAATCACCTTACCTTACTTTGGCTCAACAGAGTGAAGATTAATTTATTTATATTTTTCCTCAACGGAGCTTATGGATTTATAATTTTCTGTTTTTACTCATCGGAGCTTTACAGATTTATAATTCTTTGGTTCAACTCATTGGAGCAAAGGAATTACAACACGATTGGACTGTTTTGCCCCTTGGACATAAACCAACAATCAACAGTAACACCTTTCAAGTAACAAGTGGATTTTTGACTACTAACTTTGCTATGTAACTGAATAATCACTATGGATTTCTGCTGTAATGTTTTTCCCCTGCAAATCATTAATTAAAGCAAAGCATAAAATGCAACATTCTGCACTATCATTTCACCACTTCGTGTTCATGAATTTAAGAAGCTTGGTTCAATTCTAACAAAACCTGAGGTTTTTTAAGGTTTTCTCAGCTTTGATTATAAACAACATCCTGGAATGTTATTCCTAGATTCTAAAAATAACCAGATCAGTAAGAAAAGCCATTCTACAATGGAGGTGGGCGGCCATGAATGCAAGTTTCCCTGTGGGCAACGATCCAACTCCGGCTGCTAGGTTGGGTGAGTCATGGGGTGAGATAAGGGTGTGACTTGCAAATGAAGGTTGTTAACAAATCTGGGTGAGTCACCTTCAACACAGCCTTAAGTAGAACTAACCTAAGGTCACTCTGGGTAATACCCAAGTGCTAGATTTGGTTTGTGATACCCCTTAGAGGAGAGGCTGCAGTGGGGTTTTAGCCATAACTCAAGTGGTAACTTCACTGGGTAGAAAGACACGGCCAAAACCGATACTTTACGACATGATCATCATTGATTTTATATGAGGCTGTAATAATCTCCCCTAAAGTACAATTTGTACAAATATATGCATGCATGTCCAAAAAGGCAACTTGAGGTAAGTTTTATTAATGTTGGATACGTTTCAAAGTTAGAATTAAATCCTGCTAACACAAAACATATTTTTTAATTCATAGATTTAAAGTGGATATTAAACTGATTAATTTAAGTGATTGTTTAAAGTTTTTTTTTTTAATCAAGGGGCAGATATACATTTTTTTCTTCTTTCTGCACTCTTTTCATTCATTGTTATCTTTTTGATGAATTTGTTTTCGTTTATTTTGTTTCTTTTAAATGAATGAATAAATGAATAAAATAAAATAATAAAAAAAATTAAATGGCTTTTAACATCAAAGTTCATGGCATAAACCAACACAGACATGTTCCTTTACCATTTTACATTGTTTTATAATGTAGCTGTTTTTGTTTCATTTTTTTTAATATATAATTTACAAATTGTACTTGTAATTTTCAATTCATATGCATTTTTATGATTGTCTACTGTTGTACTGATAAATATCTCTTGGAGGGTAAACTATATCTTGGCTGCAAGTATCAAGCTGCAAAATCTTTAATTTTCTACAACTGATAGCGGTTGGTCATTAATTACAATGAAGTTTAGCAACTTCTTGGTAAACATTCGAGCTCAGAGGCTTCAGCGATGTATTCTTCTCGTTCAGTCCGAAGCAGGCAGCCTGATTTCGGTCAGCCACACTCAGTCTGCCCCTCTTCCGAGACGAGCAGACTGAGCGGGGCAGATTGGGCACGGCTGGCAGTGCAGTGGTTGGGCTGCCTGCTTTGGGTTGAGCCAGAGGAGTGCACCGCTGAAGCCATGGAGCTCAAACCAACAATTTTCAGTCAGGCCATCTGGACAGTTTCTTTTTTTTTTGTGTTGAAACGTTTCACCTTCCATTCAGAAGGCTTCATCAGTCAAGGAAACACACAACACAAAACTGATTCTTCTTTTTCTTTTTTTATTTATATAGCGCCAAATCACAACAAAGTTGTCTCAGGGCACTTTACAGAAACATTCACATACATAAAAGCCAATTAGTAAAGTTCTCTCTATCTAACGAGGCCAGCCGACAAGTTGAATCATGGCTTCGTTGCGGTCTCCTATCCCGAGCAAGCACAATGGCAACAGTGGAAAGCTTACTCCAAAGTGGAACAAACCAGTTATGTTGGTGCTAACATGGTCTAGAAGGAAAAAGACCAAGGAAAAAAATGCTCCTATAATAGGGGTTGCACTATATTCTGAAACTAACGGTAATCGGTTCAGGGCATTAACACTGTGTACTTACTCCCTAATTCAAATAAAATGTCATACATACATGCATACATCCCTTATGTAGAAAACTTTACCAATTGACTTTTATGTATGTGAATGTTTCTTTAAAGTGCCCTGAGACAACTTTGTTGTGATTTGGCGCTTTATAACTAAACTGAATTAAATTGAATTGAATACATACCACCACCAGAGGATCACAGCCAACAATTTGAGTCCAGAACAGGTTTAATACATGTTGTTGATTAATAAAGGCTGGCCCTGAGGTTATTTGGATTACTCTGTGGTCTGTTTCCATCTCTGCCACTCGCAGCTGGAATAATATTCCCTTTGATGTACTCCATCTCCTTCATTGGGTCGACAAACATTTTATCTTTCCCTCTGTGGGTAATTCTGAGCTTCGCTGGGTAGAGGAAACCATATTGAACCCCTGTCTGGTCCTATAGAAACTGTTTTGCCTCCATAAACGCTGCCTTAACTCTTGCCACCTGCGGAGCTTAATCGGCTGAGATGAACACGGCTGACCCTTTGAAGCTCCTCCGGCCACTGCTGCACATTCACTGTGCGTTCACTGTAAAATCTCCACACAATCTCATTTAGCTACAGCATGCACTCTCAGGACATTATTACCTGCAGTGTTCCCTCAGTGCGGACTGAACTTGGCAAAAGGACCTTCTCCTACTCTTCTCCTGTTTCCTGGAATATCTTACAAAAAGACCTCAAGCTCTCGACCTTTGACCTCTCTAAGTGGCTTTAAGAATCTGTTGGACTCCTGGCAGGGACCGATGCAGACATGTTCATGTTTATAGTTTTCTACATTCGCCTTAGAATCTAGCTGTTTTCGTTACTCTTTTTGCCATCTTATTTGTAAAAATAAATAAATAAATAAAATATAATGTAAAAAATATTTGTATGGCTTTTTATAACTGTTTATTGTTGTTGCTGTTGTCCATTGTTGTCATCTTTCTTTGTTGAAATCAGGTCTCTCTTGTTAATGAGTCCTCGAGGCTCAATGGGATTTACCTGTCTAAATAAAGGTTGAATGAATTCTCGATAGTAATTAAGCTTAGCCACAACAGTTCTGGGTTCACCCATCGGAGCTTTTCCTGCCCGGCTTCCGGTATACAAAGTTGATCAGCGGTGGTTTATCCAGCCCTAGGACCTCCGTTAGCATGTTAGCAACCATGGTGGGCAAGCATTCACCTGCCGACTCGGAAAGTCCAACAATCCTGATATCACATTTGGCCTGCCCCTCCACAGCTTCAAACTATCTTTTAAGCCCATTGATCTCAGTCCTCAACTCCACTACTGTCCCCCAAAGCCCTTCCAGATTGTCGGAGTGGGAGGACAGGTAAACTTTTCATTTCCGAAGTAGCATATCCTGCTCGGTCCAGTTCCACTTTAAGACTCGCAGCAGTGTTCATCAATTCAATCCGTACTACTTGCAGCTCACTCTTGATAAAGTCAAATTCTTCTGTTAAAGCCGCCCATAATTCTGTTTTTATCATTGCTACAACATCAGCTCTGACTGAGGCCAGAAGGTCTATCCCCAGTCGACTCCTCCCTCCCCCAGAGCATAGTGGAAAGAGAGCCAAGGCAGCCACTTCATTAGCACATCCATCACGGTGATCCAAGGCTTTAGCATTAGCAATAAGCTGTGGGGGTGGGGTTGTAGATGGAATTTTAGTTTTCTTCTGCTTTGGGGCCATTTCACCAGCCTACTGAACCAGTTCTGCGATGATACCGGTCTTAGAAACTAAATTCAGCCCAAAAATCAGAGGGTGCAGTTATAAAAAATATTTTTTCTTAAGGGCAAATGTGAGCTTCCTCAAAACGTAGCTTAAATGCTGACCGCCATTTTATCTCCACGTGCAGCCTGATTTTTAACTGGTACAGGCAAAAGAGCCCAAAGAGAGCACTTCTGGCCTCCCTGCACTGGCTCTTGGTTCACTTTCGAGTTCAGTTCAAAATCCTACTGTATGTTTTCAAATCTCTGAACAGCTCTGCCCCCTCTTATCTCGCTGATGTGCTGCAGCCATATGTCCCACAGCGCTCTCTGAGGTCCGCAGATCAGTTGCTTCTGTTTGTTCCAGGAACCCCTCTTAAGCTCAGAGGTGACAGGGCCTTCTCTGTTGCAGGTCTAAAACTGTGGAATGATTTACCACTGCATGCCAGGCAGTCTCCTACTCTCACTGTTTTTAAGTCTCGCTTAAAAAAACATTTTTATTCCCTGGCTTTTGACACTATAGAATACAGACAGGTTAAAAACAAATTACACAATGTCAGCCATTTAGTTATCTTTTTCCATTTAGATCTATGTTTTTATCCTGTGTCCTTTGCTTGTTTGTTTCTGCTGTACAACACTTTGGTTGGCCTTGTTGCTGTTTTAAGTGATTTATAAATGAAGTGGTATTGTATGGTGGGTGGTGGTGATGATGATGATAATGATGATGATAATGATGATGATGGTTGACTGAAGATGATTTTCTGTCCTTCAGGGATGCAGCAGGCCTCCATCAACTTAACTCAATCTCTTCATGAAGTCTACGAACTGGACTGGCATGGCAAGGAAGATATTGTAACCATTGGGAAGGTCAGTCTTTCAGGAAACCCAGTCCTATCCGTTCGTTCATCTAACATTGGATCATCTATCATTTATTCATCTGTCCAACTGTCCATCCAACATCCAACTGTCCATCTAACATACATACAGTGTACATCTGTTTGTCCCTCTTTTGTAAACACAAATCAGATATTGGGAATGAACCTTTACTCAGCTAATGCTCATTACTCTAAGGGGTTCTCAGCAAGTTAAAGCTCATAACATTACATAAAATAAATTGAAGAACAACTATATTTAAAATATAATTATTATTTACATTGTAATACTGTAGCACACACCTTCAATGTATAAATACAAATATTTTTTTTGCACTCTGCCTTGTGTTTAGATTGCCTTAGCTCTAGTTTATTTAGCCTTAGCTCAGATTTATGTATTGGAATCCCAGTCTGATCATCTGAAACGCAAGAATTAAGACAAAGTACTTTTATTTTTTGTGCTTTTATTACAAAAATGATATTTACAACCTATTTCAAACCAAGGAATGCATTTTGAATATGATGGTTCCAGTAATTTTATGGTAAGAAGGGTGACTTATGAAATATTGTCACGTCTAAAATACATGTTTATATTTTAATTACTGTGGATAAAGAGGAGTGAAACTCTTCAACTGAAAGAAAATCAGGCTTAAATGGTTTACTCCAAATTATGAAGCAAAATAAAAAGTACAGCTGAATAATGTGTTTATCTGTTAATAACCCAGAACAAAAGTGAAATAATTCTGACATCAAACCATAATTAGAAAGCAGGGATCTGGACCTCCGACCATCAGGAGGTTCTTCCCATTAACACACGTGCTCGTTGACCTGGGCAGAAGGAGCTGAAGGTGGATGTTGTCCCCTGGACACAAGACCTTGGCACAGCTCCAGGAGGGCACTTGCAGGAACAGTTGGTGGGATCTTGGTACCTCAGGGTTTACGTTAGACTGCCATCAGTTTCCCAGGAGTTCAAATCACCCAGCATTCATTGGAGATGGTTTTCTCAGATGGAGGAGAACATGCAGCGTTCTCACAGATCAAGTTAAGAGGCAGGTTCAGCCAGGTCTGGTTTGCACCATCTTAACAAGAAAAAGTGTTTCAAAAGCAACAAAATTCATTTGAATTATTTCCCAAATTACGTCAAATGTTTTCAAGATGTTCATTCAACTTTTATTTATACAGATAAATCACAATGAGCCTTGGAGACTCATTTACAAGTGAGACCTGTTTAGACAGACAAAAAGTAGAGAAAAGTGACAATAGGGTAAATTTATTAATCTTTATTTAACCAGGCAAGTCCCATTGAGATCACAGATCTCTTTTGCAAGGGAGGTCTGGGCCTGAAGGCAGCCTAACATGCATGTTTTTGGGAGGCAAAAAAAAAACTTGTAACTGGCACTTTGCCCTGGCCAAGGCAGAGTGCCAGTAATTGAAAAAAAGATCCCTCACATGAAGCAACAAAGTGACACAGACATTCCGCAGGGGGGAGAGGAGATAGCAAAAGGTGGTGAGATTATTCATGCCAGAGGTTCCATAGTAGTCTGAATAATATAATATAATATATTCAGTCACTCGCTTCTTTCCTTGCGTCACAGAAAAAAGTTTTACGACCTGCTTCTCTCTCAGGCAAAATGGGGTCAACAACTCTGCACAGTTCCTTGGCAAAGGCAGAAAAAGAGTGACAACTCCTACTGTTAGCTTGCCACTCTGAAGTGCCTCAAGACTTAGCTTTACCAGATAATAGGGAAATGACATATGCCACTCGAGCACATTCAGGTTCACCTCTAAAACGTTCTGGAGGGGACAGGCGTGGTTCCAGGTGAGATGTAGGAGATACTTGAGTGACAGCTTGTGCTCCAGCCATGTGTACAGGTCTCTGAGAAACAGAATCTTTATACAAATCCTTTGAAGCACAAATTATGTCCTGTACATCGGATTCTAATTTAATTATAGCCCCTCTACACCAGAGCGCCACTCTTGAGCTGGTGCTGGATCCATTTTCGGCCAGATTATTCTGTAACGGACTGGTTTTAGGATCAAAAACAGCACCAGAACTCAGGAGTAGTTTAAAGCTTTTATTTTTGTAACCGCTTCTGGTGGAGGCTTGGGTCCAGACGGTGGTCCAATCTATTAACAGGAGAGACAGGTTAGTGACTGCACATGAAGTTTGAAAAACGATGGCTAAACTAAAATGGTCACTAACCTTCTCAATTGGTAGCAGGACAGGAGGAGAAGCCGTGGACTGGGTGATATCACTCATGCAGAGTAATCTGCAGCAGGAAAGCAGGATGATGGTATGTCCAGATCTCGTGGTTCAGTGAGGGTAGCAGGGGGTCAATAGCCAGGAAGACAAAAACTTGCAAAGCAAAAAATGCAGAGAAGGGTGATCTGAAACACGTGGTCGAGAGAGAGCAAGCAAGGGTCGTATTACCGTGGTCAGAAAATTGTAGAGGTGTCCAGTCAGGAGCAAGGCAAAAGCGAAGAGTCAGGAGACGAAGCAGGGTTCAAGATCAGAAATCAAGGTCGAGGAAAATGCTGGAGAATTTTCTGGCTGGAGAGCTTTCAATAATCTGGCACGGAGAGTGAGAGTGGAGCTTAAGTATTGAGCTGAACAGGTGCAGCAGATGAGTGCAGATTGCTGAGAGAGAGTGACAGGAGCAGAAAATGGGTGATAGGCAGTGCAGGACTGAACAGGATGAAATAAACAGAAACTGAGGGGGATCCAGGGGCGAACTATGACACTCATAGCTTAATACAGGTGTGCCCAACCAGTCGGTCGCCCGCGAGCTGGTTCCCAGTCGCCCGCGAAGCGAAGCCTTGACTTGTATTCTCACAGACATAGTCTCGCGAGTTTTGGGTGCGGTGACACAGCTCTCACGAGACTTTAGGCTCAGTCGTGGAGTAATGTCGGTGCGCAGAAAACATGGATGGAAAACTAGCGAACAAGCAAACGAAAACTTATTATTTTCACACAGAGTGGGAGGAGGAGTATTTTTTTGTTTATTCTAATTCGAAGTCCATTTGCCTCATCTGTAATTCGAGCGTTGCCTTACCCAAAAAGTGTAACTTGGAGCGGCATTTCAAGACGATGCACAAACGGTTTGAGACAGATTTCCCTCTTAAAAGTTCTTTACGGACTCAGAAAGTGCGGGAGCTAAAAAACAAGCTTGCAGCCCAGCAGTCAGTCTTCACTCGGCCCAGCACAAAAGGTAAAGCTGCTACGATAGCTTCCTACCGTGTTAGCCGCATCCTGGCTCAACATAAGAAGGCTTTCAGCGATGGACAAGTTATGAAAGAAGCGTTTATTGAGGCTGCAGATGCGCTTTTTCATGATTTTAAAAATAAAAGTGAGATCGTAGCTGCTATTAAAGACGTGCAGTTGTCCAGACAAACAGTGACACGGCGATGTGAGGGAATGTCTGTGGATGTGGAGGAGCAGCTAAAAAAGGACGTGGAACAATGTGAGTGTTTCTCTCTTCAGTTTGATGAGTCGACAGACATGGTGGATGTAGCCCAGCTGTGTGTTTTTATCAGAATGGCCTTTGCAGACATGAGTGCAAAAGAGGAGCTGCTCACCATCTTGCCTTTGAAGGGACACACAAGAGGAGAAGATATTTTTAATGCGTTTATGGAGTTTGTTAATAAAAGCAACTTGCCCCTCTTTAAACTAATTTCTATAACAACTGATGGCGCTCCAGCAATGACTGGTCACACCAGTGGATTTGTTGCACTCTGCAAGCAGAATGATGCTTTCCCAGACATTTTGCACTATCACTGCATCATCCACCAACAGGCCCTGTGTGGGAAGATTTTAAACATGAAGGAAGTGATGGATGTTGCCATGAAAACTGTGTGCTCTATAAGGGCCAGGAGTCTGCAGAGGAGGTTGTTCCGGGCTCACTTGGAGGAGGCAGGAGCAGACCACACAGACCTGCTGCTGCACATGGACGTCAGGTGGCTAAGCAGAGGTACATTTCTGGACAGATTCAGTGAGCTGTTGCCTGAGATCAGGGATTTTCTGAAGCTGTCAGATCATGGTGAACATTCAAAACTAGAGGACACCCAGTGGCTTTTGGATTTAGCCTTCCTCACAGATCTCACCAGCCTGCTCAATGAACTGAATTTGGAGCTTCAGGGAAAGGACAAAAACATAATCCACATGATCAGTTCTGTGAGCACCTTCAAAAGCAGGCTGCAACTGCTCACAAGTCGGCTGCAACGCAGGGACCTGCGAAACTTCCCACACATGGAGGCAGAGCTACAGCGCCAAGGGAAAGAGGTCCCACAACTGGACAGTGCACACTATTCTAAGCAGGTTCAGAGCATCTCAGCAGAATTTGAGAGACGATTTACTGACTTTTCCTCCATCGAGCCTGTTACCAGCTACATGTGTTATCCTTTTGGAAATGTTGATGTGGATGACATTGTGTCCAAATTGGTGTCCGTGTTTCAGCTGGACAGCTCTGGTGTTGAAAATGAGGTGTTGAGTCTGCAAAATGACATTGGGATCAAATCCAGAGCATCACCTGGCGTGGATGGAGAGTTCTGGAGTCTGCTGTCAGAAGAAAAGTATCCTAACATCCGAAGATGTGCTTTGAACTTAACAGCACTTTTTGGATCTACCTACCTGTGCGAGTCTGCTTTTTCACACATGAAAATCATCAAGTCCAAAAACAGATCCACAATGAATGATGATCATCTGGAGACCTGCCTGCGCCTCGCAACCACCTCATACTGCCCATCTTATGAGACCCTGGCCTCCTCCTCTCAGTGTCAGAAGTCCCACTAAGGTAGAGACACATTTATTTTATACAGCTTGCATAAAAAGTTGTCTCCTATAGACACATCACGTTCTGTTTTATTTACTTTAAAGAAGTGAGGAGTAGGGATTGATGAAAAATTATGTTTGTTGATAATGAGACTGGACGAGTAGCTCTCGGCAAATTGCCGACTTCAAAAGTAGCTCTTGGTTCAAAAAAGGTTGGGCACCCCTGG